GCTACGGGCAGGCGGCGCTGCAAGCGGTCAGTGCGACGGGAGGGCGACGCTGCGAGCGGGCAGCGCGGCGGACGGGCCGGGAAGCGGGCAGCGCGGCGGGCAGGCGGCGCTGCAAGCGGGCAGCACGGTGGGCGGGCGACGCTGCGAGGCGGGCGGGCCGCAAAGCGGGCAGCGGGCGGGCGGGCGGGCTGCGAAGCGGGCAGCGGGGCGAGCGGGCTGCGATGCGGGCGGGCCGCGAAGTGGGCAGCGAGCGGGCGGGCGGGCTGCGAAGTGGGCGGGCCGCGAAGCGGGCAGCGGGGCGAGCGGGCTGCGAGGCGGGCGGGCCGCGAAGCGGGCAGCGAGCGGGCGGGCGGGCTGCGAAGTGGCGGGCCGCGAAGCGGGCAGCGAGCGAGCGGGCTGCGAAGCGGGCGGGCCGCGAAGCGGGCAGCGAGCGAGCGGGCTGCGAAGCGGGCGGGCCGCGAAGCGGGCAGCGAGCGGGCGGGCGGGCTGCGTAGCGAGCGGGCCGCGAAGCGGGCAGCGAGCGGGCGGGCGGGCTGCGAGCGGGCGGCTCGGCGAGGGGCGCGCGAGGGCGCTAGTGAGGGGCGCGCGAGGGCGCTAGTGAGGGGCGCGCGAGGGCGCTAGCAAGGGGCGCGCGAGGGCGCTAGCAAAGGGGCGCGCGAGGGCGCTAACGAAGGGGCGCGCGAGGGCGCTGACGTGGGTGCGCGCGAGGGCGCTAACGAGGGTGCGCGCGAGGGCACTAACGAGGGCGCACGAGGGCGCTACGAGGCTAGGGAACGGGGTAGCGTGGTAACCGCATGCGAGCGGTGGTGGGCCCTAAAAAAAACGATCGGTAGGTCCTAGGGACCTCCTGCTCTGAATACCATATCAGAATCACTAGGCAAGAATGATGAACTAGCAGAAGTTTGGGTACAAATATGAAACCCTAGTTGGGGTTGTACCCCATATTGGCTACCCCACTACAGCCTACAAGCATACTACAGTTTAACATATATGTGTGTGTGGGTGTATCTGTATGTGTGTGTGTGCGCGTGCATGCGCTTGTGTCTATGTGCGCGCGCGCACGTGTGTACCCTGGGCTTGTGAGTGGTGTTTACATTTTTTTTTTCAGTGCCCACTATGCTTGTGCAACGTTTACCTTAATCAACAAACACCCTATTCTGCATTTACAAACCATTCTACTTACAGGCTACGGAGAGCGGCAAAAATACGCTTGCAGCAACAAGTTTCAGCGTAAGTTGGAAAGAGAGCATGGCGGATGGGTCGGACAAATGGAAAGCACACGCAGGAGACATGGCCCGGCTCAAGGGGGTGTTGGAAGGCATCGCTTAAGACGGGGAAGTACAAAACAGCACCATACGCATCAAGAACGGCATGGCTATTCCCGGCGACGAGGATTTCACCAAATATTCCAGTCAAACACACTACGTACGATCATGCGCCTCGTTCGCCGACAAGCCCTGGTTTAGCGACGTGGTAGTGCTTGGTGAGGAGACTTACGAGGATGCAAGAGGTGACACCGCTGTGCGTAAAGTCATCTGGTACTCGAGAATGCTACTGCTCTTTACTATCGACGTGTACACGCCAGTGACAAAGGAGATTTCACAATGGGAGTACGCCTTTGTGCGTTATTTTCGTGCCACTGGTGTGGAAAATGCGTCGAAGTGCCCAGAGTATCCATGGGAGACTGGGGACAATGAGTACCACCTGCTGGAAATCGAAAAAGTTTTGCGCGTAGCACACATGGTTAAGGTTAGTGAAGGGGTTTTTGTGATGAACAAGTTTAAGTTTTATTGATTTATGCTTTGTATCGCGGTTTTGCTCACAGTGTTTTTCACACACAGAAAGCTGCTTCATAATGTGTGACGACTAAAGCGAATATATTCTGTGTGTGAAACGGCTGAAGAGCTATTCCGAGTCTACAGTTCACGAGACAGTACTTCCGTCACATTTCCAGCATACACACTTATCGCCACGTCAGAATGGTATTGTAAACTTCACAATCTGTGCTGGCAAGCCGCTGCAGTACACACGATGCCCGTTTGACTAACCCAAGGTTGCCTTGTAAAGAGGTGTGAGAGTACGACGGCTTATGCTTGTTATTCATGCTTGCTTTTATTCCCTTACGCTATTTCTAGCTTAGGTTTATTTTATGCATGCATGAATTGCTTGATTTCCTAGGCTAGGTGCTTTCCTATATTTTATTATAGTTATAGCACCGCGCTAGGTCACGTACACCGAATTCTAGGCTATTCGGTTGCCACCGAAATGCCTTCTACCGAATTCAGGAAGGGTCTGTTCGGGACGCTTCGCGACCCACAGAACCTTCGCGTAATACCTGGTTACTGCACCTTGTGTCGAGCCTATATATAGCCTCGTGTTGTACCCAGGTGATCATTCAATTCAATTCAATTCAAACTCTCAAATCTGACCTCGATCCTAGATTCTCACACTTGGTAATCAGAGCTTGTTTACTCGCGAAGTTTTTCGACCACTTAAACCTAGCTTTTAAAACCGCGGGGGCGACGACAAGAGGCGCCGATTTCGGGTACGTAAACCAGTTCCGCGCTATTCTTAAAGCGGCGGTATACATTTGGCATTACTGTTTGTTTTGTACAGTGTCCACCCCTTCATTTCGCCGAGACGAAAAAAACGAGGGGAGCGAGAATGTTGGCGAAAACCTGAGTCGCCTTCGTACGAATGAACAAGGGTTGGGTTGGTTGTGTCACAAATGTTGAGATGCTCCCGTCACCTCTCACCTGCCACTAACACACAAGTAGAATAAGCCGCTAATAACTACACCAGAGAAAAGAAACCAGGGCGCACGCTGGAGGGTGCTACGCCTCTGCGACCACACTCGAAGTCGCGTGTGAGTAATTAGTGGCGTCGGTAATTAGCTTAGGGCAGGAAACGACCAACAAAAGCGTTCGTAGCGTCAGCTTGTACAGCAACTGTCTCGCGCGCGCCTGTAGCAACGCACGCACGCCTGCATTCAAAACGAGCCAGCGCAGCGTGCTTCAGCAAGGCGCCGGAGCAGAGCAACGCGCGCCAGCAAAACGCGCGCAGCAAGGGGCCACTAAATATGCATAGCGCGTGTGAGATCACAGCGCGTATGAGGACAGGCACACGCGCCTCGCGTTCGCCAAGCCGTTGAGCCGGCATCGCGCGTATGAGGAGAGGCACACGCGCCGTATCGCTTTGCCCCCGCGCACTCGCACCGTCGCATAACATGAAGCATGCCCCTTTCCGCATTCTCCCACACGCATTCCCCCTTTCCCAATCCGAACTCTCGGTCCCGCATTCCCCCATCCGCATCCGCCTTCCCCCTTCCGCATTCCCCCAACCGCATTCCCCCTTCCCCATTTCCCCTTCCAAATTCTCCCTTCCGCCTTCCCCCATCCGCATCCCCCCTTCCATATTCCCCCTCCCGCATTCCCCCTTCCGCATTCCCCCTTCCCCATACCCCCTTCCAAATTCTCCCCTCCACATTCCCCACCCGCATTCCCCCCATCCCCATTCCCCCTTCCGCCTTCCCCCTTCCGCATTCCCCCTTCCGCATTTCCCCTTCCGCCTTCCCCTTTCCGCATTCCCCCTTCTGCATTCCCCCTTCCCCATTCCCCCTTCCGCATTCCCCCTTCCGCGACGCCCCCCTCCGCGTTCCCTCGCAAGCGTTCCCCCTTCCGTATTCCCAACATACAATTCTGTCAACAGAACTAGGCAAGAATGGTGCATTGAATGAAACAGTTGGGTACAAGTAGCAAACCCTAGTTGGGGTTGTACCCCATATTGGCTACCCCACTACAGCCTACCAACATATAACACATTACAATTTAACAAATCCTGCTCTTCCCTTCTTCCTCTCTCCCCTTCCTTGCCCCCCACCGTGCCATTCTGCCTACTACTGCAGGTGAAGCACATCTTTGACACCATAGCGCTGGCTGTCGGCCTTGCAATGGAACTCATCAACAGCCAATCATAGCTCGCTGATGATGCAACTCACCTCGTGCCGCACCCTGCCGCCCGTTCTGGCCCCTAGAACCTCCTCAGTCACTGGAGATACAGACAGGGAAACGGCTACAGCAGTGGCCCAATGCACCTCGCTCACCCTCGCCGCTGCCGTCCCTTCTGCCACCACTACACCACGTCAGCAGTGACAGCATGCATGCTGACATGGCAGTGAGCATGCCGGCTATTCGCTCCTAGTGTCTTACTCCAGCGTTCAACCTCCTCACACTTGCTCTCATCTTTTCACACGCAACCCTGCCTTCCCATCTCCCATCCCTTCCTTCCCATCACCGCTCTCCCTGCCTTCGCATCTCTCCTCCCGTGTCGTTCCCTGGTGGCCAGCACCACAGCGCTGTTGCGAGTGGGTGTGAAGCAGTGCGTTATACCGCGACGTGTTCGTGGCCTGGTCGGGGTTGCTACCTGCGTTATTACACAACGCCAGTCCATCCAATTCATCTCCTTCTTTCCTGCTTTTCCCATCCCTGACCTTCCTTCCCTTCCCTACCCCACCCTTCCCTTTCCCATCCCTTCTCCCTTCCCTTCCCTTGCATGCCCTGCCCTCCCCCCTCACCTACTCATCACCGTATACCCTCTACCGTAGTTCTTGTGCATGTAGTGCCATCACGTGCTTGAATTCCTTTGTTGCTTCTCTTCTGCCTCACAGCACCTTCCCTGGAGCATTACAAAATCGTTTTTGCCTACTCTGCTAATTGGCTGTGTTGATACAGAGGGCAGCAATTACAAGCAGAGGCGTAGCTAGTGGATGGTTTGTCACCACTTTTGTTATGTCTCGTGTGATTTATTCCTAGAAATATGCGTCATGAAGCCCAGTATGTACTACCATGATTCAGCAGTGCAATGTATCTTTCCAAGATCCATGGACAGGTGTCACATCCCTTACAGGTAGAAAGAAACGTGTTGTCACATAACTTCAGACTGTAGGCAAAGGCCAAGAGGAGCAAGCAAGGTACCGTACTCTATGCCTTAGGCAACAAATATTACCGTAGCTGCTTTGACATGAGATGATTGGGTGAGGCGTGTTGAAGCTTGAAATCTTCAGAGCAGTCAGTCACTGAAATAGTCAGGGAAGGGGAAACAATCCGAGGGCGGGGAATAAGAAAAGGGTAATGGTTCAACCACAGGCTGTGATGAGGGAAGAGAAGTGAGGGGATGGAGAGAGGGGAGGAAAGGGGGAAAAGGGAGGGAAGGGTGGGAAGTGAGGGGAGGGAGAGAAGTGAGGGAAGGGAGAGAGGGGAGGACAGGGGGAAAAGGGAGGGAAGGGAGGAAAGGGAGATAAAGGAGGGAAAGGAGAGAAGGGAGGGAAGGGAGAGAAGGGAGGGAAGGGAGAGAAGGGAGGGAAGGGAGAGAAGGGAGGGAAGGGAGAAAGGGAGAAAAGGGAGAAGGAAGGGGAATGAAGGAAGAAAAGGGAGGGAAGGGAGGGAAGGGAGGGAAGGGATGGAAGGGAGGGAAGGGAGGGAAGGGAAGGAAGGGAGAGAAGGGAGGAAAGGGAGAGAAGGGAGGGAAGGGAGAGAAGGGAGAAAAGGGAGAGAAGGGAGGCGAGGGAGAGAAGGGAGGGAAGGGAGAGAAGGGAGGGAAGGGAGAGAAGGGAGGGAAGGGAGAAAGGGAGAAAAGGGAGGGAAGGGAGAAAAGGGAATGAAGGAAGAAAAGGGAGGGAAGGGAGGGAAGGGAGGGAAGGGAGGGAAGGGAAGGAAGGGAGAGAAGGGAGGAAAGGGAGAGAAGGGAGGGAAGGGAGAGAAGGGAGGGAAGGGAGAGAAAGGATGGAACGGAGAAAAGGGAGGGAAGGGAGGGGAGATTAGGGAGGGCAGGGAGAGAGGGAGGGAGGGAGAGAGGGAGGGAGGGAGAGAAGAGGGATGGGAGAGAGGGAGGGAAGGGAGAGAGCGGCGGGAAGGGAGGGAAGGGAGGGACGGGAGGTAAGGGAGGAAAGGGAGGCAGGAAGGGGAGAATGGGAGGCAAGAAGGGGAGAATGGGAGGCAAGAAGGGGAGAATGTGAGGCAAGAAGGGGAGAATGGGAGGCGGGAAAGGGAGAATGGAAGGCGGGAAGGGGAGAATGGGATGCGGGAAGAGTTGAATGAGAGGCGGGGGAGAGGGGAGGGGAGAATGGCGGCAGGAACGGCTTCTTTGAGTGGCGAAAAAGGGGAATCGGGCGGCGGGAAAGGGGAATCGGGCGGCGAGAACGGGAATGGGGCGGCGGGAAGGTCAAAGGGGCGGCGGGAAGGGAGATCGGGAGGCGAAAAGGGTATATTGGGAGGAGCACGAGGGCCGAAGCGTGTGGCGCGGCCAGCGTGATCGCGGTGGCGTGAGGAGGCATCGTGTTGCAACGAGGCGAGGCTGCGAGTGGATTTGCGGCAAGGCTACGCTGCGAGCGGAATTGCGGGCGACGCCGCGAGCGGATTTGCGGCGAGGCGACGCCGCGTGCCTATTTGCGGCAAGGCGATGCCGCTGCGTATGTGCGGCGAGGCGACGCTGCGTGCGTATTTGCGGCGTGGCGACGCCGGGAGCGAATTTGCCGGCGAGAGGTGACGCCGCGACGGGGCGTTGAGGCGAGTCTACGAGGCGAGGTCTTACGAGGCGACACAAAACCTAAGCCATGGTATGGACGGTGTATGACCTAAGCGAAAGATCAAGCTTGATCGTAATGGCAAATGTTGCCCCCGGTAGCTAGTTCACAGAGTAGTTCACGGCGAGAATGCTTGGGGCTAGTGCGGGGAGGGAACTCCTTCAGTATACTTTTGGCATGTATAAACTTTCGATGATTGAGTGGCCTCGGCTGGTGAGGGGTGTTGGGAACACCGGCGCTCGTGACAGAAGTTGGGTGGGCCTGTAACTCGGCTACCACCAGGTACCTTTATAAACTTTGGGCACTGGCCCTGTCAAATGTATACTGCTGCTTTAACGTCCCCCTCGAACCGGTTTTCGAATCCTCCTCAGGTTCATTGGCGAAAAAGTTGGAATTTCGACCGTCCGATCGATTCGAATCTCAACGGCCCTGAGAATTTCGCCCAAAAAAGTTGGAATTTGGAGCGTCGGATCGATTCTCTTCTCAACGGCCGGGATCAGACGCGAATTTCAATTATTCAGGTACCTGAGAAGTTGGGCAAACCACTCCGGAGCGTTGAAAAGGGTCGTGCGTTCCAAGGAGTTAATACTCTCTCCCCGCAGCACAGTGTTAAGGCTCCCCATTGCCCACAGGAGAGGCCTACACAGCTGCAACGGCTTAGGGGAAGGTTCCAGGCCAAGACGAAGCTGAATCAGCCTCGGGTAAAACCTTCTAAACCTGCTCAGTTGAAAACTGATATTTAGAAGCAGCTTCGAGCGCAGGACCTAGGGATGAGATATTCGACTTACCCTATGATCCTATAAGCGAGACCATCTACGGCTACTCGGAGCGGCAACAACCACTACTCCTCGAGGTGATCTGCAATGGGCGACGCCTCCAGGCACTGGTGGACAGCGGTGCATCTCACTCGGTGTGCGACCGCGAGACATTGGAGAAAATCGGAGAGAAGGCGGAGGAGACACAATTCTCTGCAACAATGGTGGACGGTACGAAGCTTCCCATCCACGGCGAGTCAACACTGCAGCTGCACATAGGGGCGCTAAGGTGGAAGCCGACGTTGCCGATCACCAATATCAAGGGACTAGATTTCATCTTGGGGCGAGATTTCCTGAAGCAGTTCAACCCCGAGATTGATTGGGTCAACAGTAAAGTGTGCATCTACAACAACGGGAAGCGGATAGCACTGCGAAGCTGGACGGATACAGGGGATATTCCTGAAACGACACTGGCACGGTTCGAACGGACGGTGAACGAGAGTAACACGGGTTACCTAGCACTGGTCATGGCAGCAGCAGAGGAGGAGAAGCCGAGTTCGGAGCTACCTGCAGCAGTAAAGGAGGTCTTGGAGCAGTACAAGGATATAATGCCCGACGACCTACCTGCAGGCGTACCTCCAGCACGCACCCACGAGCACGAGATCGTGGAGGAACCAGGTGCGAAACCCGTCTCACGTGCACCATACCAACTGAGTCCGACCGAGCTGACAGACATGAAAAAACAGATCGAATATTTACTGGACAGACAACTGATCCGCCCATCCACATCTCCCTACGGTGCACCAGTTCTCTTCACCCCAAAGCCAGACGGCAGTCTACGGATGTGCATCGACTACCGCGCACTGAACAAACAGACAGTTAAAAATAAATACCCCATACCGCGCATCGACGACTTACTGGACCAACTGCGTGGTGCTTTTCTCGAAGCTGGACCTACGGTCGGGTTACTGGCAGATCAAGATGGCGGACAACTCGATCCACAAGACGGCGTTCCGTACGAGATACGGCTCCTACGAGTACTTAGTGATGCCGTTCGGACTCTGCAACACACCAGCGACGTTCCAGGCAGAGATGAACCACATCCTCCGGCCCCTGCTGGACGAATGCGTAGTAGTGTACCTGGACGATATCCTCATCTACTCCAAGAACATGAAGGAGCACGTGGAGCATCTGCGGAAGGTGTTCGAGATCCTGCGGAAAAATAAGTTCTACGTGAAGCTGTCGAAGAGCAGAAGAAGGTGCAGAAGGTGAGTGCCGAGGGCGTACACGTGGACCCGCGGAAGATTGAAGCCGTTAAAAAGTGGAAAGTTCCGGAGAACGTGAAGGAGTTACAGCAGTTCCTCGGCTTCGCCAACTACTACAACAGGTTTGTGCCGCAGTACGCTAAGATAGCAGCGCCACTGACAGACCTACTGAAAAAGGATACGCCCTTCAAATGGGATACTCCTCATCAGCAAGCCATGGAACAGCTACAGACAGCACTGACCACAGCGCCAGTACTCATCCTACCGGATCCAGACAAGGACTACGTAGTTGAAGCAGACGCTAGTGACCAGGCAGTCGGAGCAGTACTGATGCAGGATCACGGGAACGGTTTACAGCCTATCGCCTACCTCAGTAAGAAGTTACACGGAGCAGAACTGAACTACCCCATTCACGACAAGGAAGCCTTAGCTATAGTCGTAGCCTTCAAGGCGTGGAGGTGTTACCTAGAGGGAGCCAAGACCACAGTATACACTGACCACTGCAGTCTCAAATACCTGAAGTCGCAGCCGACGCTCTCACGACGACAAGTGCGGTGGGTGGATTTCTTGGAAACTCACTTCCACTACGACATCGTCTACAAACCCGGGCTCCACAACAAAGCTGACGCGTTGAGCCGCCCCGGTCATGTAGCAGGCATCCAGCTCGACGGGATGAACCCTCTGCTCAAGGGTCTATTCCAACATGGGTACTCCGTGGACGGCGAGATCGCAACGGCAGAGAAACAGAAGCTGTTACAGTGGGAGAAAGACTTAGCGGTAAGGAAGGGTTCAGGAAAAATTTGGGTACCAAATTACGCTCCGCTACAGCAGATCCTATTAGAGGAATTCCATGACGTACCTTACGCGGGACATTTCGGGAGCAACAAGACGTTAGCGGGAATAGCGAAGTATTACTACTGGCCCCGGATGGCAGCAGACGTGCAGCAGTTCGTCACCTCATGCGACACGTGCCAGCGGATGAAGAGTAGCAAGCAGAAAAAAGCAGGGTTACTTCAACCTCTACCCGTACCGGAGCAGCCATGGCAGGTCGTTAGCCTCGACTTCATCACAGGACTTCCCTCGACCTCACGGGGACACGATTCCATCCTCGTAGTAATCGATAAGTTCTCCAAAATGGGTCATTTCATACCGACCAACGCCACAGCTACAGCTGAAGCAACTGCTCGCCTCTTCTTCGACCGCATCATCACCATCCACGGCATCCCCGCTACACTTATCTCAGACAGAGACCCAAAATTCACAAGTTCATTCTGGAAGGAGCTTATGGGACTGCTGGGGACCAAGCTTGCCATGTCTTCAGCATACCATCCCCAGACTGACGGACAGACGGAGCGACTCAATCAGGTGGTTGAACAGTTACTGCGTACAGCTTGCAAGGACGACATCAGCCATTGGGACGCACAGTTACCGACCTTAGAGTTCGCTTACAACAACGCCTCACATGCGGCCACAGGGAAAACCCCTTTCTTCCTGTGTTACGGACGGGAACCACTCACACCACAGCAGCCGACCACACCGGCACACGTCCAAGCCGCACACGACTTCGTCACCACCATGCAGCAGCTATGGGAGAAGACTCAGCGACGTCTCACCATGATGCAGAACTCCCAGAAGCAGTATGCCGATTGCCAGCGACGAGATCACTCAGTAGCAGTCGGAGATCAGGTGCTTCTTGACACGCGCAACTTGAACCTGTCTCACCTTCCATCGAAGGTCCGGCCTCGCTTCTGTGGTCCTTTTCTCGTGGAGGCACAGGTGACACCAGTTACATTCCGCTTGCGCTTACCAGATACGTGGAAGCTTCACAATGCTTTCCATGTTCAGCTACTGAAACCCTACAAGGACCCCAACCACCAGTTCCAGGGACGGCAGCTACCGCCACCTCCACCTGTTCTTATGCGGGATGAACCAGAGTACGAGATCGAGCGCGGCGGCAAGACCCTCGAGTTCCTGATACGCTGGAAGGGATATGACCCCACTGAGGACAGTTGGGTTGCAGAAGCTGATATGGGCAACGCACGCCGTGCTCTCAAGGACTATCTTGTCAAGCAGGGTGTATCTCACGCCACCCAGCTTTGAGGGGGGGACGTGTGAGAGTACGACGACTTATGCTTGTTATTCATGCTTGCTTTTATTCCCTTACGCTATTTCTAGCTTAGGTTTATTTTATGCATGCATGAATTGCTTGATTTCCTAGGCTAGGTGCTTTCCTATATTTTATTATAGTTATAGCACCGCGCTAGGTCACGTACACCGAATTCTAGGCTATTCGGTTGCCACCGAAATGCCTTCTACCGAATTCGGGAAGGGTCTGTTCGGGACGCTTCGCAACCCTCGGAACCTTCGCGTAACACCTGGTTACTGCCCCTTGTGTCGAGCCTATATATAGCCTCGTGTTGTACCCAGGTGATCATTCAATTCAATTCAATTCAAACTCTCTTTTCTGAGCTCGATCCTAGATCCTCACAAGAGGGCTCTTAAGTGATTCTTGCATTTCGCTAAGCTTTCGTCAATTCGCACTTAGCAAAAAGGGCTTTTAAAAGATTTTGTAACTCGCTGTTGACCGTTTGACATGGGTCTCTTCTGTCAAACTTCGGTTTTTGTGGTTCGTATTGCTCGAGGTGCTTGTAAATGGGGTGCAACTGACTAGTACCCTAATACACGGGTGCAGAGTTTCCATCGCGGGCAGGGCAAATTCGCGTGCAGGGGTTGGGCATCTTATGTAGATGAATATCGCCAAGACCTATTACCCACCATCCAGAAGTTGCACAAACGTTTTGTGCAAGGTGTTAGAAAAATCACTGCGGATAGAGGGAGGGCATGTTTTGCGGTGCCACTTGTCAGAAGAACTAGGCAAGAATAATTAAAAGGAGAGGGGTTGAACTAGCAGGCAGTTGAGTACAAATAGCAAACCCTAGATTGGGCTGTACTCGCTATAGAGTACCCCACTGCAGGCTAGACAATAATAGCATTCTGACACACCCCCATAGCCAAAGTGGGGTGTAATCAGCAGAGCAAGCAAAGCAGTACAAGCTCAGGGTGGATCACAATGTCACCACACATTCTGAGCACAAGTTCAAGAAGCAATAGTTTAAAGTTCACAGTTATGAGCAAAGCTAGAGGCAGTCACAGAGGGCAAGCGAGGAGGAGGAGGGCTGGCGAGAGGAGAGAAGATGAAAGGCGCCGACTGAAGCTGCAGACACACGGGCAACAGGAGCGGCGCGCACAGTGGCTACCGAGCGCACGAGGGCACCGGACTACGGGAGTATCTGGCTCCGCGGCTACGACGAGCACACACAGGAGCAACGGACCCACAGGCGACTGGCGAAGCAGGCT